GCCGATAGTTTTGAATTTTATTTTTGTTGCCTTTTTTGAAAAGCGGCTTTATATTAGACGATTTAAAAATATATAGGAAAATTCCTATGCATAAGGATACATTAATATGACAGTTAACGGGTGTATAATGGAGGGCGCATATCTTTAACAAATAATCGGGAAATTCATCTAAACCGGACGAAAATTTATCTTTTAGTCTGCTATTTATTTTGAGAATTTCGTTGGAAGAAGTTTCGGAAACAAACATTCAGTCGTACTCCCAAGTAGTCGTGCGAAGTCAGCGTTCAGAAGGTCCGCCTTGATGGCGGCCCGGGCGTTTCGCAAGGAGCTCGTGTGTGCGATGGCCGACATGTCCGCTCATGGCACAACAAAGAACCAGGCTCTGTAGACATAAGCGAGAGGGAGCTATAAATAAGAGCGTGATCATGACGAAAGGGACGGGGGTGACAATGGCCCAGTGGCAACGGCGATGGGTTCTATCAACTACTGAAAGGACATTGTATATCTTATTCCTGACGTAACGTAACGAAGTGGACCCAAACGAAACACGGAGATGTGCATCATTATCTAATCCAATAGTTATCGGGGCTACTGTGTCTACCAACTTATTTTCCGGTTGGACGATGACGCGTCATGCTCAACCCCTAACCTGTGACCAATTGGTTGAAGTTGTGGAGCACGCGTTTCTTCACTGTCCGTGTTTCGTTGAGGAGAAGGGAAAAACTCCACAGACTCCCACTGCAGGTATAAGGACTCCTGATATCGTCACTATGATGCTGGTGTCTCAGGAGAGTTATAGTACGGTAGTCACCAATGCCGAAAAAGTTTTGAAGCAGCTTCGGTTAGAAGAACGACGGCGAAGGAGTGGCATCGCAGGAAAGCATAGAGGCAAGGAAGGCATAGAAGCGCTAAGCTGATCTGTTCTTCCCAAGATGCAATACCTGACGGCGGTTCCGCGAGCAGGGAATCGGAGGGATGGGATGGATTTTAGTGGTTAGACGTAAAATACTCTCTGGGTTAGACACAGGCAAACAATGAATACCACAAGCTGCGCAGTGTGAGCGCCGCTGTGTATTCGGATGATTATCCCCTGCCCTAGTTTAAAAAAAAAGTGCACGCGCGCACACATACACGCGCATACACGCGTCTTACAAAATGTACAAGGTAATATTCCAAGTAATTTAGCAACTATACATACAAATTATATTTTGCCACTTCATGTTCATAACAGTTTATTTCTTTGAACATTACAATAAACAATGCAACATTTCATGCAATTTTCAGATCTTGTTTGTTGCATCCATTCAATTACTGATAACACATACTGAAATACAAGCCCAGCAAATAAGAAAAATTCTATTGAACACGATATATTACTCATAAAACTGCAAAATGTCATAACCAACAAGAGCTAAATTTTATGGGACTAAAAAACTGCATAAGCTTTTAAATTTCAAGTTGGATTTTGTATTTAAACTTCTTTTATGTAATTGGTTTTATATTTTTTCATTACAATGAATGGTATTTGAAATGTTTTAATTGTTTTTAAATTATGTGGCACACATTTTGTTTTTACAAAATTATGCATGTAAATTTTATTTTTGAAATATGACATTTTGTAAGGTGTATTCTTAGAGAATGAATCTATTGATTTCATAATCTCAATTTCATAAATTATATGGGTTATGACATTTTGCAGTTTCATGATATATTGAAAAACTATTTTTAAAAAATCACTTAAAAATAGAATCTAAGAAGTGTGCACACAAATAGTTACAGTAATTTTTAATTTTAAATGCTAAATTATTTCATGCAACTTACTTTTCAAGAAATACTAAATTTAGACTGCTTCTAAAATTACACTTCACCTATCAAATGTATCAAAATACAATTCAAGATTCTTTTTGAAGGATTGGAAGCCACATCCCTATTAACAGCAACTTTGAGAGTATAATCTACTCACAAGTACATTCAATAAATTTTTCAATAAATCCAAATATTTTCTAAAAGAAATAGGAAAATAAACTTGCCACAAAATAGTCAATAAAAAAATTGGTTTAAATAATTACACTACCAAGGGCCCATTTATTTCTGCAGAAGATGTAATGTAACTTCCTTCTTTTGAACTTTGTATATTTTAGACATTTAGTACTTTTTTAGTAATGTTTTCTGTTTTTTCACACAAAGTGCAAAAATTCAACTGGTAATTAATTTTTTAAATTGTCCTAATAATTCAAGAAATTGTGACACATCTTTCATTACGACCAGAGCATGACCGTTCATTAGCAATGTATTCATTTGGAGCTAAGTACTCTCAAAATTAGATGATAACAGAATAACTTATATGATTATTCTTGTGAGTCAAACACAAATACAAACCACCCAAGATTTGTGGAGACTTTCATTACTTCACCTAATTTGTTTTTATCCTCATGCCTGGTTCCTACAGGAAGGCATTCTCGAGAAATCAAGTAGTGTGGTCATACCCTGCTTCAAATTCTTACTTCATATTTATTTGTTCTCTTAGTAAAATCTTCGCATAAGTTGAAATACAGTAAAATGAGAATATTTGACACCACTTTTCATTTTCTTTAAGCATAATTAAACATCTTATTGTTCTCCTCAAAATAATTTCAATAAAAACAGGAAGAAATTAACAACATAAATAAGAATGTATGTGATTATTTTTATTCAGTCAATTAAAAACTTGACTAAATTATAATTTTATTTGGTGATATAATTCAGAATACATAACAAACACAGAAGATCACAGAAAATATTCTCCTACAATAATCAAATTTTATCATAAAAATGTTCCACACTTAATGTTGTTGATCTGATAATTTTTTTTTTCCCCCCCCAATTATATCAGATTTATATTCACATTAATCAAGTGAAAATTGTATCAAATTCAGAAGTAGAGGTGTTAATCCAGTATTCTAGTTAGAACTATTTAATTTAGAATTTAGTATAGGAAAAGGCAATGTTACAAGTGTACGGAAGACCAGTCTACTTATATAACTACCAAGACCCAGGGAACCAAGCACAATTCACTTGAGTTGTTAGAAAGCATTTAAGATGAATAAGAACTAAAAATCATTTAATAAATATCATAATTAAAATTTAGACGAGATGCATTTCTTAAAAGGTTAAAAATTGGCAAGGAATAAATAAACATTATCTTCGGTAACTAACTACACTTTAAATGTATCAATAGATCTTTCTTCTGTAAATAAACAAGCTTTTTTAAGTCTCAAATTCCTTCCAAATGTCTTAACAGTTCAATATGAATAGTTTTTAATGTATCACAGTATTATTCCTAATGTTGGAATGTAGCACTACACGACCTTCAATAAAGAAAAAATGAAAGAAATGTGTATACAGATTCACAAGTTTAAAGTCCACATTATATTTGGCAGTTTAACACACAACAGCAGTCGAAAATATTCCAGAAGCCTTAAATAGAATTTTGAGAGACAATCAACATTCATACTCAAGATTTGCAGTATTAAGCTTCATTTCATTATGAATGCTTTACTTTAACATATATACATAATACAATATATATATATATTTTACACCACACAATGTAAGAGTGACAATGACGTATTTGCAAATGCAATGACTAGCTGAGTAAGTCTTGAATTTCAGATGTGGATAAAGGTTTTGCGGCTTTCTGCGTTTGCTGAAGATTCATCATCGGTGTAAGTGATGTTGACATCATGTTCATTGGCATACGGACACCCTGCTGTCCCATGGGCAGAAGGTTGTCTAAAGAACTCTGCTGGATCGGTCGGTAAAGCGGTTGGGTGGTGGGTGCCGACCACTGGACGGGAGGTTGCATGGTAGGTGTGGCCTGCTGAAATGCTCCAAATCCTGTAGGGGAAGATGCCATGTTGCCGAAAGGAGACGCTCCAGCTCCCGGCACGGCTGGGCTCCCAAACGCAGCTGTTGCAGGCACTGAAGACACAGGCTGCACAGCCCAAGGAGCAGGCTGCACAACAAAAGAGATGTTTGTGCTGCTTGCACCTACGACTCATTTCACATTTGAAGTAAAAATGGAATTGATACATCGCTTTTCTTAACACCTGCATATATCTTTCAATATGTCAGGACAGTAAAACTCCATTTACATGTTGACAGTAGAATTGAATTCATGGTTGATTGATTATTTTGTCTTTCCAAGTACTTCAGATACTATGGTCATTAGTTCCATAAGTGTAATACATATTTTATTGCGACAAGTACTCCACCTCTGCTAAAAAATGAGATCAGGTGCAGACCTACACATCGACTTGTAGTGGGGTTCCCTCTTTCAGGTATCTGTCAACACAACACCACTTCAGCTGAGACTCTCAGTTCCATGTAAATGAAAGTTTGTGTGCATGTTAGGGACGAGGAGAGGACAAAGAAGAACAAGGGAGAATTAATTTTTGTTTATTGTTTTTAAAGGGTATTGCAAGTGGCAGCTAAGCAGGGCGAGGGTTGGAAGCACCCAGGAATTACCTTTATTCTCCTTCCCCTACAGAATGTCACTAAAGTGAATACATTTTATCGCAGGTTACAATAACGGAGTTAAACCAAAAACTTCCCACTCCTGAATGGTTCACTTTGGACATGAAGTCTTTCTTCTAACATCTAAAACTATTGATTACAGACACTTACAGTGATAAATTGGATAATTATAAGTCAGTGAACTAGTAACAAAAATAACTAATAATAAAAAATTGATACAAGGCAAAATTTAGATTAAACTAAATTTACACATGAGTTCTGCAGTGAACATAATATGATATTGAACATAAAATTACTACACGAGTTTATAAAGTTAAGAGAAAGCAAAACACAAATTGATATAATTAAAAGACAAAACATGAAACCTAAACACAGAGCTATTTTATCACCATGAAGGTTTGGCCTAGACTCCACGAGGCCAGAGGAGGCTGCTATGTGGAACAGCTTTGTAAGACTACCCTAAGCGTTTTGATCGTGCGAAGTACTATGACTGCCCTCTGTATTTTGTTTAGCTCTAGAGATATATGTGGTAAGAGGTCAGACAATCCATGCTGACACATAGTACATGATCATAGGGAGAAAAGACACTTTATACATTGTGATGTGGACTGTAGGATGAAGTAGGCCCCAGCAATGTGGTGCAGCTTTTGAAAACAGTCCTCGAGGGTGATGCCTTTACATGCAGTAGAAATATTAGTGAGATCCACCCCATGATAGATATGGGAATTTACCAAAGGGATGGCTATCCCCAGGTATCTAATTAGTGAGGGCCTCCCTTTACAAGGTAGGTATGCCCGGAGGCAGTCCAAACATGTGCATAAGGGAGGCTCTAAAATTCTTTTCCAGGTTATCATTTTCAAAGGATCCATGGACATTAAAAGTATGATCGGCTTACATAGAGGCAATGAAATAATGTACCTCTAGGGATTAGTATGTCAAAAACCTAATTTTTAACAGATTTTAATGAAACAGTGTTTGAACAGTTCACTTTGGACACTGACAGGATGCAAATAATCCTGAAAATTGGGTTCTGATGATTATTACTGCTGCTAAAACAGTTATTAAAGGTATCCAAGTTGTAAATGACATAGCAGAAAGAAATATTTAACTATTAAAAGACTATTACAGTTTACTAACTCTTGATGAAGAGTAACAACAGTAATTGTACATGTTTTTGAAGAATATCTAAGAATAAAAAATCTTCTATGTCATTATTTTCATACAACGATATTTTGAAATTCATTATAAAAATATTAAAAAATAATAGTCGCTGAGATACCAACACAACAGTCTTTGAAGGATTACCGTACAAGAAATTTGCATGAAAATTTAATCATTTATGAAGAAAATATATTTATAAATGAATATAAATTGTTTTTTTGTCAAATTTGGCAGAAAAATGCTTTTTTTTTTACTTTAATTGATGAAAATTAATAGGAACACCTAAAATAATAATTTCAAACCAGTTGATCATCAATTAGCCAGCATTTCAATTTCTAAAATATTTGAGTAAAACATGAGACAAACAAAATTATTATTGTGATAGTGATCTTTACCAAGTTATAAGCAAAATGGTAATATCAAACATACAACCAAATAAAAAAGGAAGAAAACCGAACAAGGCCACCAGAAAAGAAAACAATTTTAAAAGTCCATTTGCTGGAAGATGAAAGTGTGAGACCCTTAAACCAGTAAAGATTAAGGATAAAACTAAGAACAATGGAGGAGAAAGAAGAGACCATTGAGGAAAGCTGGAAAAACAAATACAATAATCCTTGAGGCAGCAAAAAAGAGTATAGGAACTAGTTACTAAAAGAACACAAGAAGACTGAGGACCTGGAACCAAGAAATAAAAGAACTTCAAACAGTAAAGAAGAAATCTAACCAAAAATTCTTACAAACAAACGCTATAGAGCAAGCTTATACAGCAATCTGCACTTTGGCTGAGCTCAAAGGCTGCACGCAAGCCACTTCATTGCAAAACTGGGTCACGTGAATGGGTGGGAATAAGACTCATTTTAGGAATGGGGATCGCCAATAAGATTACGCAAATTGAACCGTAGCGCTTAAATTAAAACAGCAATTGCAAGAATAACAAACTATTACATACATTTCAAGTTTCATCACCTTGTATTTTGGCATAATTGGCACTATGGTGGCATATATGGCATATTTATGGCATATTTATGGCATATTTTGGCACTACTTTGGCATAATTTCAGATTTAGCGTGCTGCTAAATACAAAATTGTAATGTTGAATCTTTTTTGTTTGATTTTTTATTGCCTACATTTAATTGATTAAGACGGTTCTATCAAAGCTATAAAATCTTATTCTTAGAAAATCATGATTACTTTCTCCTCTAATTTCCGAAAAACTATTCATAACCTTATAAAAAAATTAAGTCCTTTGCTTTTTGTTTAACAAGTCTCATATTAATGTAAATTTTTTTTACATATAAATTGTTAGAGATATATCATTACACCATCACCAAGGCTTATGATGCTTCTGAAATTAATTTTTTATATCCTTTTTTATATCTTCTTTTTTTTATTAATTATTTATTTAAATATACAGGTCTTATGTCCACCTTAATGAGCAGTAATAACCATACAAGTGGACTTGGCCACTGCAATGAACAGTAAGTTGCTTTGCTCCATTCTGCAAAGATCGCAAAGGACACCTCAGCCTTTGCCACCATCTCTTTATGTGAGTGCTCAAGCAAAACTATCACTAGATTGTTTATGTAGATAGTGGCCACCTCCTCTGATGTAGCTACCCTCACCATATTATGTTGCAAAAGAAAGGGCAAGAGTTTAACCCTTTCGGTCAACCTTTTGACAACTTGTGACTTGTGACCATGCACACAATTGGGAAAAAATGTAAGGCCCCTATGTATTAACAAAGTCTCCAGCTATATCTAAGAATTTCATCAAAGCCTACCTATTTTGGGCATCTGTTTGTATTTCTAACAATTTGTTAACCAAAACCTCAGTAGAGCATCCTTGTCTAAAACAATATTGGTTAGGGAAAAGATTTCCTTTTGCTCTGTGGGCTATGGCCAGCTTGTTTGGGTCAGGCGAGGAGCAGGGAAATTGATCCATATGCCTTTAATTCATCTAGTCCTTTATCATTTGCTTTCCTTAGCAGGGGCACATGGGTGATCCATTTAGTCCCATCTTTCATAGTCCATTTGTTAAGGTGTTGCTCTAGTATTCACCTGGTATTGCATGGAAAAATCGCAGAAAACTACCAAGTAGAGCACTCAGCAGCTAAATTTAATCAAGCTATTTATCAAGTGTTGAAAATTCACTGCTGTTGGAACTCCAACCCAAGGACCTCCCAGTAAGTTGCAGCAGAGGCAACAGCACTAATGGCTTTGAGCTAATTTCACTTTTCACACAATTGAAACCCTTGCCAGAAGAGCTACCCTAATGTCATGGTTGCTCTGACAATGCATCCTATCATACGAAGATATTGAATCAATAGTACATCCACAGCTCTTCTGCTCCGCATTATAAAATTGCAAAATCACAAGAGATGCACGCTTAATAGAGCTAGCATTGCCACTGCCTCAGCAGCAATTCCCAGGGTTTGAGGCCTGACGTAGGTAGGTTTTCAACAATACCTAGGTGGCTAGGTTAAATTCAGTTGCTGTGTGGAGGAGAATTCTAGCAGCTGACTACTTTAATTAGTAGTTTTCCATGGTTTCTTAGATCAATATAAGCCAAATACAGAAGCAGTACTCCAACAAACAGTTGATGGACTTCACAAATCTTTTCTTCCTCTTCCTTGTTCTATTCTTTCCTTTTACACACACTTACACCCATTACACTATTACTCATATTAAAAGATTGGTCGGGAGCACAGAACTTGTCCCGGCTGGGTGGTACCCTCCTGGGCAAGATACTTGGAATAAAACATTCACTACATTAATGGAACTAATGATAATACCAGTTAAAATGTGCTCAGACACATCAATCAATACGTATTCATATGTTTCACGTTGTTAGTCTACCTCTTTGCCAGGTGAAGCTGGAAACATTTTGTTTGCAAGCAGAGAATAGCTTGATAATCTATGATAATACAGCTGACATAACTGCTAATAAATCTTAGATGATATTAATAAATGGCAAGTTATTTTGATGTAAATTATGATGAATTAAATATTGAAATAAACATTAAACATAAACTTAATGTATTAATTAAACTTCAGTTTATACCAAATGTGATTAACAATCTATATTCAAACTTATCTGCCTTTGATGCAAATCATGTTTTATGAAATAAATTGAATATTCAATGAAATAAATCTAAATACTATTACACACACCTTAGCCAAAGAACTTTCATTTGGAGGCCCCTGGGGGCGCATGTATTTCATCTGGTTGAGGTTATTCTCCATGAGGGTCGATGTGAGATCTCTTAGAGGAGCTGTGCTTTTCGGTTGTGGGTTTGGAGGATTTGCAGCCACAGAAAGCACAGGCTTGGCTTGTGGTTGATTCTGAAGACGTTGTTGAGCTTCTTGTTCACGGGCCAACCTGCAAAAAAAATACCAAGCAATATATTATATTAACAAATTAAATTTACTATTAAATTAAACATTTAAATGTTATATTAATTTCAAAATTAGAGAAAAGTTTGACACTCGAGAAGAGAGGTTTTATTATGATTTTCACCCAAATTAGTTTGGATATTGATACAGGAAAGATATAAATTGTACAATAGTAAGTAATGATAGAGTGTACAAATTCAGATAACATGACAGCTTTTTTTTATATACTTGTGAAGCAATAGCTATTCTTCAAACATTACAAATAATAAGACACAATAGAATAGAAACTAAACTTGTAATATTCTGGAATTCTAAATTATTACTTATGACCATAGAAACATAAAACATGACACACTGGTAACTCATTTGGCTAATTAGAAACAAATATACGAATATAGAGTTAATGAGGATTCTAAGCCATTAGTAAATACAAGAAAATGCAGATGCAAATAAGAAAGTCAAAAAAAGCCAGTAATGAATCTCTAATTAACACAATATGTTCACATCCAGAAAAAGTTAAAAGATATACCAAAATTAAAATTAAGTAATTCTGGGTCTTATACTGGAGAAAAAAATCACTCAAATAAACCACAGGAGAAATCACATAATTCATTATTGACAAGACTCTCACAGTGTCAACATCAAGAAAGGAACATGTGAACACAGCCACATTAAGAAGAGGCCATACAGAAAACATGGAAACTTATGTGAAAAGTGTGGAGCAGCTTTCACACAGCCGTCTTCTAGCCAAAAATTAGAATCAGAAAGAAATCAATCTAAACTGTCCAAATGGATTAAAGATTGTTTAAATATCAATGGCTGGATGAATACAGACAATAGTTTTCCTATAGTAAATTAATTAATACAATTGTATACAAAGTGTGAAATGTAATACAATGTAAATATACGTGTAAAATATTAATGTATTAATATCTGTTCAATGTTAATTGAAAATATATGTTTCTATAAGATATACAATGTAAATTATGAAAAGGGAGACATATTAAAACAGTAGAAAAATGAAACAAAATAATTATCTTATTATCACTAATGCAACAAAAACAATATAGAATACTTCTGAATGTAAAATTATTCCCTCTTTTTTTTCTTCTTGAAGGTAAGGAACATTTACTTTCTGGCTTCCCTTCCATAACTAATCATTTATTTTTTGTTGAAACAATTCTTTAAAAGCGAACATTTGTTTACATATTATGAATCAACTAGTTAAGAATTTCCAATACAGCTTTATAAATATTACAGAAATAATCTCCAAAAAAGCATTATGCACGGCTGAAAACATTCATAATTAGTAATTACAGGATATTTCGTAAACTTCTCCATGACATATTTACGATATTCCCTTGAGACATTACGACACAACATTATTTTTTACATTTTAGTGATTTGAATAGTAATTTTCCTATATATACCAGAAGTAGAAATAATTTTGTTGCTTTTTAAAGATGTGCTGATGGTACAATTAAGACAAAGTTGTTCTTCTCATTGATGCCAACTTCTGCAGATAATGTATAAATAAAATAAAAATAAAACGTCACAGGCCATGAGAAATTTTCAGATGTCTGGGCAAACACATCAGGCAGTAGCATAATGAAATGAGTGGGACCCAGCCACAAAACATTTATCCAGACCCCCCTTTATAAAAGTGCATATCAAACAGAAGTAGAGTTAGTACCTTAAATAATAAAAATATCTCCTAAAAATAGGCCCTCTTTTACCTGGGACCGGCCGCATTGCAGGCCCAAATGTTACACCACTGACATCAGGTCTTCCAAGTTTAGTTTGGGAAATTTCATATTTATCAGTTACCTCTGTTTTTCTTGCATGCTTAATCCAGTTGTACTGCCATTCATTTGAGGAATACTGTTTGTACTGCTCTGGGTGTTCATATTAGCCATGTCTGCCGAACTATTTCTACTTGTAAAAGCATCAAGGCCCAGTCCAGAAAACATGTCATCCAATTCTGTAGTAGGAGCTGGTGCAGCTACCAATGGAGCATTCTTTGACATAGTGGCAAGAGGCATGGAAGTGGACCTGAAGGGGGAAAGAAAATTGATTTCTCATTTCTGTTTTGGTCAAAAATTCAATAGTGGAATACATTTTTTAAACAACAAAAAAGTATTGCTTAAAACATTAAATTATTTCTGGAAATGAAATGAATTTTATGTAACATCTTAACAAAATAATTTCCATTGGTTGCGCTTCTTCTATTGAAGTAATATTGCTTTCGTTTCATATGATCTAAAATTTTAATTTATCGAATTTTTTATGACAAATACATATATAGTTTTCATTGTATTAATACTCAAAAAAATATTGATTTTGACTGTGATAAAATATTATATCCTCCAAGTTTAAAGTAATTTCCAATAATATAACAAATTACTTCACCTCTTACAATCTTCTGTCTAATCTTTGCTATTAATTGTACATTACTTAATTAATTAACAATTTGTCTTCTCTTAAATTAACAACACATAATCTTCATCAATTAAAGCAGCATGAGAAATTTTCAGATGTCTGGGCAAACACATCAGGCAATAGCATAACGAAATGAGTGCGACCCACCCACAAAACATTTATCCAGACCCTCTTTATAAAAGTGCATAGCAAACAGAAGTAGTGTTAGTACCTTAAATAATAAAACTATCTCCTAAAAATAGACCCTCTTTAACATTTATTGTCATAATAAAAATGCTGATATATCAAAAATAAATTTCAACAAAATTTTTTTTAGGTCCCCACATTAACAAATTTTAAACTTTCAATATATTGAATTAAAAACTTAGCATTTTTGTCCCAGTTTTTAACTTTATTCAGCATTTAACTGAAATTCATTGTTTTACAAAAACAGTTTTTTTTATTATGATGCATATAATTATTCAAACAATTCAAGTATAGTAGACATTTTTCATGCATGAATGTGTTTGGTGGAAAGCTGCTTGCATCTGGCAAGGCAAGAAAGTCATGCTATTGGCTGGGAAGAAACAAAGTTTATAAACTACCAACAAGGACCTTTTGAAGAGCGTAGTGTACAGTAATCAATAGCAATTTCAACCATCTGTGCAGTTCAAGTAGGCAAGCACAGATGCCTAAAAGAGGTATGGAATGGCCAAGATATCGCTGTTGATTGCTGTTCACTGTACCTTGTCCCTAATGAACAGTAAAATTTGGAAGAAACGCACTTGTGCACCTGCATACACACGCGTGCATGCACACACACATGCACATGCCCCCCCACGCGCGCGCCCACACACACACACACACACACGCACGCACTCACACAATATTTTACAAAATTTAAAAATATTTAATCCTCTTAAAATTTTAAAAACATTTTTTTTTCTGAAAAATGGTAATAGTAGTCATATTTTGATAGGTGTCTGTTGTGGTTAGCTCTTGTTCAGCATGCTCGCTTTCCACTACGCGGCCCCGGTTTCGATTCCTGGTCAGGCAAGATTATAGTGTGTGTTTTCCTTGCAATGTCCCAGTATGTTGCTGGTGACAATGAGAAAATTCACTTCTCAGGTTGAGAAAATCGGAATACAGCACGTACCCCCATAACCCATTACTGCCAAGCAGGGACGTTGCTGGTAGGCCTGAGCCCGTTCATGGGCTGTTGGGCCCAGTACATACATATATTTTGATAGGTCCCCTTTAACTTTTTGGCAAAACTGTATAACATAAAAATTGTAGATATCCCTACAATTTTATTACACATGTAACAACATCTATGGGAATTATTTCAATGTTTAAAACAAAAGCATAAATTACTTTACATACATTACACATATTTTAGGAACTTGTTTCAATATTTTTCAATAGTATTTACTCACTTTTGCTCTTGCTGAATAGAATTCAATTGTTCCAGCTTAGTTCTATGTTCTCCTTCAACACGATTCACCATTTCTTTTATAACAGTCATTAGAGCATTAAACTGATTTAAGGTAAGACCATTTTCAATGCTAAGAGGCATCAAAAATGGCACTATTTTTGTAGCCATTAGTTCCTTAGTGATGCCAAGCTTCTTATGTGTTAATGCTAATTTATAAATGCCTGCAAGAAAAACAAACAAATTCTAATTTTCACTCCAATCTTTTAACAAATCAAAACATTTCACTATTCTCAGGTTGAAAGGCATCTGTGGTTGAACCAGCCAGAAGGAAGCGAAAGTTATTTTTTACTTCATTTTGGTTATTATAACGCAGGGTTGCCCAACTGGTGGCCTGCGAGCCACATGCAGCCCACAGGGTCAATTATTGTCTCCTGCAAATGTTATTAGTCAAAGGTGATAGTCTGTTGCATCCATGTTGGGCGAGAACATTAGACCCCTAGCACACGCACTCAGCCATGTTCAACACTCCCTTTATGTAAAAATAGTAGATTGTTTGACATTTAAAGATTTTTTTCTAGTAAATTCTGTAATTCAAAATCACCCCAATGTGTTTTGCTGTGTTTTGATGGATGGTACGGCTTGATAGCACGCATTGTTGGTAGCACACAATTTCAAATGAAGTACAATATTTTGTGCATTAAAATTATCCAACTCTATTTCAGAGATTATATAAATAATAAAATATGAATTACTTTACACAATATGAATTAAGAAAAAATAATATAATTTTGGAAAGAGCCTCGTGTACGTATTAGAAGTTTGAAGGACGAAAAGTAGGAATTGGCAAAGACTGGAGATCACGTAGATGATGTTTCTACACTATCTTGCAGGAGTCACATTAAGGAATCAGCAAAGATATTTTAAAAAAGGCTTAAAACAATGACTGCAGAAGAAGAAATAAAAGAAGGTGAGAAGAAATGGGTTTCTCACATCAACAGAATGCAGCAAGAAATTTTACCAATGACTGCTTTGAAATATATACCGTTAGGAAATGTAGGGAGATCACAAAAGAAATGGTTAGATCAGAAACACTAGTGGGACTAAAAATCCACCAGGTCCACTGTGAAACAGGAAGGTGACACGTGAGGCAACCTGCAGTAAGTACATCTTGATGATGATTTATTTATTACAATTAACAGAAAATTTGTCCTTATAGGTACAAAAATATAAAAAGAATTTTAGTTGGTAGCTCGCTATAAACATATAATTAAAAAGAAAAGACAAAAGAAAAAAATTATTCATAATTCAATATGCTGCAGGCCGTTAATAAAAGAAATAGAAGTATTTAGTTTATTTAAATCTAAATTGGATATATTTGCTATTTTTCAAAAGTGGCTGATAAGATTATTAGCTCTATAAGAATGTCAATTCAATTTAATAACAAAAATTTCATTACTCTTTGGAGAGAAATAAAATAGCTTGTAAATTAATTGATTAAAAATAAATGGGCAATCAATGTCTCCCTTAATTATTTTGTACAAAAAAAGCATATCAGGCATCTATAAGAATCAAGAATAGGGATTTTCAGTCGCAAGACTGTATATCTGTAATCACGATCAAAGATAGATATTCTGAAAAATGCGTGTCCTACTGTTTCAATCTTACATATAAAATTAACAAAAAAAGAGGACCCAACTACAAACCAATAACCAGTATTGGCTTAAGAAGCATTAAGCATAGTGATTTTAAACTCACAAACTGCAAATCATAATGCACATGTTTTATGAAACCCAAAATTTGAATAGATTTGGCAATAGTACACACCATGTGATATTAAGTGTCAAAATCAAAGCAAGACTCTTAATGATCCCTCTTAAGCACAACTGAATTAAAAGAAGAGTTGAAAGCAACTACTAATCTTGATCTAGTATAAGTAATCGACTTGCATTTGTTAGTGTTAAGTTGAAGGCCATTATCAATGGATCATTTTCCATGGAATTTAATGCATTTTGCAGGAGATATTTATCAGCATGAGATTATCTTCAAAAAAATCATGAGTTATCAGCAAAAAGAAAATACTCCACGTTTCACACAAATTTGCAATTTTCAAAAATTCAGAGTTCAATGAACATGAGACCAATGCCTTTTTTTTAGAATCATTGGGCACCATTTCTAAGAAAATCTTGAAAATGGATTTAAGGCTTCAAGTTCAAGAGAAAATGGTTTTGAGGCAACTCTCTCAAAAATCAAAATATCTATTTGAAACTCTCAAGCCTTGAATTCATTCATATTGGTAGGGGAATATCAATTTTGAAGAAAATCTGCTGAAGTGTTTAGGTGCTAGCATTGCCCACCAATCTTTGGATGTTTTGCCATTAAGCGATTTTTCGGTAACAAGGACCCACAAAACATGAATTCTGGCTACATCACTTGTTAAATGAATTGTTTTTCTACATTTAGCAACAGAATTTATCCCGTTTTTAATTAACAAGGCCCTGCAATAAGAATTTTTATTCTTCAGGCGCACGAGTACATAGCTTTTGTCTTTTTATGGAGTACCTTTGAAAGAATGAGAAAGCAAAAAATCAAATCTTGCAACATGATTTTATAATTAGCAATTGAATTAGATTCAAACAGATTTAAGAACCAAATTTTATCAGCCAACTATGTTGCACATTCTTTCACACAGATTATTTCATCAACAAAAAAAGGGTAACTCAATACCTTACTATTTGCCCATTTCACATGTAGAAGGTTATAATCACCAAAAATTTGAGTTCAGATACTCCAAATCCAAATAATGAAATATTGAAGAGTGTGATAAAAATACTTCATCGGCTGATTATGGTGAAAAATGTGAACAAGAAATCATAATATCAGAATTGTCGAAAAGTAGATGAATGAATAAATAAATATTCATTATCAGCAGAGACTTCAATAAAATACCATGCTAAACATTTTTTACTCCAATGAGAACGCCTCCACCTTTAACCTAATACTACACATCACTACTAGTATTTTGACAATTTCTGTAAATAAAATACATTTTTTCAGATTGAATTCAGAGCTCAAATTTTCCTGAACTAGCCATATTACAGTAAAAACAATATCATACTCTTCTAAAACATAACTAAACTTTTCATTATCTTTAACTTTTGTTTGCAAACCTCTAACATTTTTGATAATAAACCTAGTGAAATCACATTAAATGTTTTTTGAACTTCTCAATCCAACAAAATCAACAATTTCTTGTGATGCTTTTAACTAATATATCTGATGGTTTTTGCATTACAATATTTTATTAATTATAAGAAGTTCATCTCTCCTTTTTTAATGATAATGATTTCAGAGAATTTTTATTCATTCAAATATTATACTTACCTAATATACCCATGAGGACAGCAGGTTCTCGTGATGGAACTTGAGGCAAGAATGGAAGAACATCATCCAAAACCAACCACTTATCAAGATGTTCAAGAAGCTTGCCAACACATACTAGACAGTTCACACGCACCTGGAATCACAGTTGAGTTTGTGCAGAAAAAAACATTACAACATGTACGTACCTCAATGAATGATTTCAAACAATGGATATTTGGCCTGAGTGCCACGATTAGTGACACACAGCTTTTCATATCACATTCCTATGCATGAAGGGAGGGAATTAAAATGAAGCAATGCAGTTCATAGACTGAACAAGTCATGTAGTATTTTACTGTTTTATTACTCTTGATTTCTTATCATAATTTAAATTTATCTGGGAAGATTATGGAGGATGATCTAGAAAGTTAGTTTGTAATTTGGCTTTAACAACTTCATTAAAATAAGAAGCGCAATAATTTAAAAATCTTAATTCACTACCAATACTGTTCTTTTCTATTTTAACAATTCTGTAATAATAGTACTTCTATTCTAAATTAAATTTCCAAATACAAAGAGCCTTTTATTCTTTTAGGAAAAATAAAACCTGATGAGGAAAATAAGCAATTGCTAATTACTAAGAAACAATCACTTTGAAAGATATTTTTCTCAGTGAAAGTTTCTGACTATTTTTTATCATATACTACTTTCATCATTCCTTTTCAATGCAGTATTTATATTGAATAAAATGTGGCTTTTGAGAAAATATCTCTTTAACACCAGCAGGCAAGATTCTTCCTACCTTTTCACTAAAGAGGTTAAGAATGAACTAAAAGTTGATCATGATCACTAGGCTCCAATAAAAATAATATACTGCTTTTTGGATATCAAGCAGTGGCTCTAATTTTTTTGTCATTAATTCTCATCCAAATCTTGTCTTTGCAATACTAGATGTGTACATTTTAACAAAATGCATTGCTCATCAGTCCTAATATTAAGCACAAACAAATTCTTAACCACACCAAACTTTTCGAACTTTATGTCGTGAGTCAAATAATGATGACAAAATTGAGGTTGTGAGCTCAGCAATATTGTATCAATTAACACAATACTCAAGCACAAAGGAATTTGATGTTGAACTAACTTCAAGTAACCCATCAGAAGTACAATTATTCAGGTAAACTAACCGAAATGTACGATGTGTTAATGCACAGCCGTTTAATGCGTGGAAGCAATGCATTCTTCATGGCAGGATAATCTATAAGACCTGCAAATGTGGGCAACACAGTAAGACAGAGCTCCTGAATTTGCTGGGCATCTGATTCCAAGGCTCGATACAACATCGGAAGGACATCTGCTTTTATTTCCTCAGCTGGTGTCAGTTTCAACAGCAACTCCATCTTCTGCATGAAAATTAGCAGGATCTGAAATAAAGATTTTAAATATAAACAAAACATATTCTGTGACAATTTTGTTAGTCACTAAAAAATTAATAAAATCCCTGATACATGTGTAGAAACTATGCATTTAAATAACTATAAAACCTTAGCTAACAGACATTCAATTTTGACAAAACTTATTTTTAATCATAAATACCAAGGCAAAAAGTCCTGTGTGTTATTTAAAACAAGCAAAAAGTCACTTCACTGGACTTAATACAGGGATGGAAATGTTGGCATCAGTTGAGCTGGATTATGTATATAAAAATGTTCTAACCATCCGAGTTAAAAATGGAGATTTTAAAGGAAGAAAATTAATAACGCCACTGGGCCATCATCAGTGAGGGTTTTTATTATGACTAAAGCAACTGCTCCTGAAACAAAGTCTCTATTCATCGTTTTCTACATGTTTTTTATGTGCATATTGTCAATTGCCTTCAGGTCTGCGTTTCATTCACATCATCCACCACATTTTAAATGCCATGGTTTCCGAAGTTCCTAGCAAAACATTCAAACTTCGCAAAGTACTTAATAAATAAAATCTAACTAAATCCTTGCCATTACATTGCACAAAGGAAAAACTAGAAAAGTTACCACAGAAAATTAACACGTACGCACTATACAGAACATCGACCCAACACACACACATACATTGTTTAGTACTTACTCTTAAAGTCTAATGAAATAAAGGAGGTTTACAAACGCTATACTAACACTATTCACTAATAACACAGAAGAAAAGAAAAGAGAATATGAAAATCAATTTTTTTAAATTTGTCATACATTATAACTATGTTTTACCACAGGGGCAACATATTGGTATTGTGGTGAGTTTTCGTTGGCATTTCCAATGAAATAATTATATGCATTGTCATTGCCAACAATATTATTTATTATTACAAGCCACTGTATGGTAGTCGTTTTTGCGGCTTCCATACAGCAGAAAACGGATGATGATGGCTCAACCATTGAAAGCTGCTATTTTAATAAATAATATTGTTGATAATGACGACGCATATAATTATTTCAGGGGTAACATACATTATTATTATTATTGTTATTGTTATTATTATTGTTATTGTTATTATTATTATTATTGTTATTGTTATTATTATTATTATTATTATTATTGTTATTATTATTATTATTGTTATTATTATTATTGTTATTATTATTATTATTGTTATTATTATTCTTATTATTATTGTTATTGTTATTATTGTTATTATTGTTATTATTATTATATTTGGCTTTGACACTTCTCATTTTACTTGCGACTCCGACACAAACAGAAAGATTCTCAACAGTGATGCTTCCAAAACTTCACACACACACAGTCGCTTGGCTTACGAACCAACATTTTTTAACTAAAAACATAACAGCAATGCGCTCACGCATGTAATGGCATAATGCTATCCTTTGCGATATTGCATTAGCACTAACAATGTGAGGATGAATACTTAGACAGCGGGAACTTATATACAATTGAACGCTTGCTTTTGGAAATTGTATATTACACAAGCAGTCATCTGATGGGGGAATATCTGAAGAAGCTGGAACTTCCAGACCCACAAATGACATTGTAATTCATCAGCTGATGCAGTCGAGGATTTTTGCCCGTGTCCTCACCAATGCCACTACTGCTGCCAGACAAAAGAACAAAGGGTATGTGTATGTCTTCCTCTCCCTCAAAATCACCCTCAGCATCAGCAGAGGGGTGTGTCAGGGTCTTTGGTTATCAATTGGAATAGGTGAACTGGGCAAGTGGTAATCCGGAAAAGGTCACAGTATGTTGTAATGGACTATAACAGAAAAATCTGTTATCCTCCTTGATTTAATGCATCACTTATAATTAGAACTGGGAAGTTCATGCAATTGCATGTTTTTTGTTAACGGTCATATTTTCCTGAAGTTTCAAATGTGAACATTTCATGGCAAAATATTGAAAATACGGTAAGAAATGTTTTGCATATACCGCATATTTTGCAAATTGAGAGCTTTTTGGCATATAATAAAAGTTTTTGCACGTTTTTCAATTTTTTGCCTAAAATAACACAAAAAATATGAATTTCCACATAAAAAATATTTATATATGGTAAGCGTGCATTTTCTTGTTGCTTCAAAATACGTTAGTACAATGACTACTGATGGCCAATGATGCCGAAGTAATATCTGCTGTCATCGGTTTTGTAAAGATGATAAAGAATTCGAGGAAAACCTTACTAGATGCACTTGTATTTATTCCTTGTCTGCTGAATAATTGCATGGTAGCTCCAAAAGAAATGAGGAAAGCACATAGGAAGAAAACAAATTAAGTTTTGGAAAAGAATCTAGAGCTTCATCCTTTTCAGACAATGGGTAAATGCTTGGAAGAAATTAGTGTTCGTCTTCCAGGCAATGTATTGAGCACCAATATTGTATTCCATAGCATAATGTGATGTTGAAATATAATTTTTTTTCTACAAAAAGTTATACTGTCTGATACACTTTCTAATAACAAATAAGTTTAATAAAATTCCTGTGGCTTTCTGTGCTTTTAATGCAAAATAAAATGTGCACCAGTAAATACGATTCTGTTTTTAATTTGCATATTCTGTCTCTAGCTGGCAAAAATATATCATTGTCAAATAGGTTTTTGGAATCAAATGTTGCATATCTCAACAATTACTGTGCATATTTTAACGTTTCTGTGGCATATTTGCATGCATATTTCAGGGCTAAAAGCTTGCATATACTTCCTAGCATTACTTATAATTATAATCATGTAACAACATTCCAAGCCTTTCTGATATTAAATTAATAAAGCAATTCTCCTTGAACTTTGTCAATCATATGGGGCTCAGCACTGTTCCCAGCCAAGGTTTGCAGAAGGTTACCCATCCACAGACCAACAGTGTCTCAATCTGTGTAACTTCCATTACTTTACCAAGTTTGATTAAGAAATGTTGCTCCAAGACCAACAAGGAATGTAGTTGGTCTTGAAAACAATGTAACAAACAAATGTCAGTAGATAAGTGTTTATTCTATTAATTTTAAGATATTAACATTTGTTTTATATTAGGTTATTATTTTATATTTAAATTGGTTATAAATTATTATATTATTTTTATTATTCTTTTCTTGCTTTCAGACAATCAAATATAAAAAATATATTTAAACCTTTTTTTTTTTAACAAGTTAATGAAAGCTGCAGTTGAAACATTAAATTTGTTGAATGTTTCATTAATTAATCATTTCACATCTTTAGGTTTCATAATCAAAACACAGATACTATTACATTATGATATGAACACTTGAAGAGACGCAGTATGTAAAATTTATAAAATTATATGGTGAAAGACAAAATTGAAAGCTTAGGCTCTGTGAAATAACATGGAAATAACATGACAAGCTCTGTGAAATACCATGGAAGAAAGGGAAAAAGAGGGGAAGAGAAGGAGACAGGGTGACCTAGATAGAGAAAATAGAATAGGAAAGCCAAGGACAGGCATGAAGTGTATCTACATGGGGAAATAACAAAGAAAGAAACAATACTACAGGAAAAAATGAATTAAGAAAAAATAAATAGTAAAAAGTATATATATAAAGAACACAAAAGAAACTAGGATGGATGAAAGTAACTCATATTTTTCATCTTCACTGACATAAACTGAGGAAAAAAGATTTGAGTTCGTATTAGTTTTAATGGTTTCATGCATTTTTATTTGCATGGATTAAGAGATATACCGAGAATACTTCCTAGGTCACTGTCCAAAATTATAAGTTCATGAAAATTAAAATTATGAGTTGTTTGGACACAATGCAAAATTGAATTAAGGCAACATTCCATTTCCTTTATATTAACTTGGTGCTCTTTCACCCTTGACTGTAATTTCCTCTTGGTTTAACTAACACAGGATCCCAGACACTAGCATGAAATACAATTCTTGAAATTCTCTGACATAAGATGTGTGAATGGGTTCTTCACTTTCTGGATGACATTCTTTTCATTTAAGTAGCCTTACTGTTAATCTTGAAATTTAGACTCTGCTGTACATATTGTTTGGTAAATTTATTAATAATTTTCAGAACATAATGCATAATGAATAAAATCAAGATATCATAATACCGTATTTTGTTCTTCAATAGTTTTGAACCTGGCAAACCAATTATAAAACCTGACGCTATGAAAATACAATTAATGAAATATGCAACAAATAGTAATGCTAAACTGCAACATTCTTTATTTGGTTTATTATAAGACCTCAGTTTAACACATTTTTACTTTTTTTTTTATTTGATTGTTTTAAAACAAGAAAAGGTTATCCTAATATAACATATTTCAAAGACAATCAATCAAATGAATAAATATCAAAATTTAGAATTTCAACTATAAACCAGTTATTAATAGCAGGCAATAACACATTTGGGACATGCTACCTTTCACTTACAACAAAAATCACAAAAGACAAACCTAGAAGAAAGCTCAAATTTATTTCTAAATGAAAACCCTTAATGATTTAAATATATAGATTCTTGCAAAAGTGTTACCTGGATTGGTTCTTGCATCTTCATTACTGGTTTCATTTCCGAAAGAATGTGTTGAATGTATTCTTCTTTGGAACAATTCTCAGCAATAAGCAAAACATTTGGCAACACAAATGGTACCATAGTTGGATTTACAAACTCTTTCACCAAGCAGGGTAGAATTCTGAAAAAGAAGCTTTCCTTTACAGAAAGAATCAATAATTTAAAAATGAACTTTGTTTATTAGAATTCATAACACCCAACCTGTAAATACAAACACGATGAGGTAAATTCTGAATAATTTGTGGAAGGCCTTTGTAGAACTGAGATTTCTGCAGATTGTCCCATTGAAATAAAGAATCCAAATAATTCAGAGTTTTTACCCCCACATCTTCAAAGAAGTCAATCTGCAACATATCAAACAAGAAATATTTTGAATTAAAGGCACTTACTAGTGGACATACAATGTGCTGCAACACAGACATTGAAGATAAACTGCATGGCCTGGTCGATCAGCACATCATGTAACACAATCTCAATTTTTATTAATTTTGTTTGTGTTTCACCTGATACAATTCCATTCCCTCTTTACTGACCAATTCAAAAATATTGGTCTGAATTATTACGCAAAAATTGTGTTGGAGATGGGGAACAAGTCCGTGAATAATTAAGTATTATAGATAGGCATGAAAAAACTACCATCTCTTTGTAACTGATTGTTACATCAACATTACAAATTTCATGACCTTGAAAGGGAATATTAAAACATAAATACTAACCAACATTTATTTCTATTTATTCATACTGTCTTTTGACTGGTCATCACCTGATATGGTCATCTAATTGGGAGATTAAACGACACCATGGTGACATCACTATTCAAGCTCATGATTGGATACCACCATACCAGCTGATTTACGTCAACAGACTATGTTTAAATCAAAGTAATAAAAAACTTGCGAATATTAAATTTTTAAAATGCATCTTCTTGAGACAGACTTAATAATTACCATAAGTGTAATAACTACCATGTAATTAAGTTGGTGTTTTGTTTTTCCAAATTCCAAAATCAAATATTTTATATTAGTTTCATGTCAATTATAATTCATTAATTTTAACATCAATTAAAAAATTTCCAAGTGTATTGGAAAAAAGTAGAAAAGGGAAAAATAAAAGAAAAGACTGTGTGTGTGTGTGTACGTGGGGGGAGGGAGAGTAGATGAGAAGATTACTTACTTTGATAAATTGATGAGCATCTGGCCTTAATTCTGGAGTGATATGGAGCAACATTTTGACAAATTCTCTCAAGCCTTCTGTGATGCATAGAAGTTTTGTTGGTGCCAAATGTTTAAACTGAAATTGAAAACAAATAGAAAATAAATTCACATGAGAACAGTTTTCCTCTCTTACTTCAGAATTGGATGATTAATAACAAATTAATAATATAAAAATTATCTTTATAACAGAAATCTCACTAGTTTCATTGTAATTTAATTTTTATTCATTAACCCATTTCTTTTAATGTTGTGTAAACTCAAAGCAAAGTTCACTACTTTATTTCACCTACACAATTCATCGAAAGAATTTGTAATTTGTAGGCAGTGTGGAATTTACATGTTAGCAAAAGGAATTAGATTAGGTCACATTGATTTTGCCCTATTTAGTACTCTCTCTTCAGAGAAGGCAAAACAAAAGAAAATATGGATTCTGGGAATTTGAATTGCAATTTCGGGTGATGTGACAAAAAGAATGCATGCAGATAACGAAGTTAGCAAGAGTCCAACAATTCTTTAATGTATCAAATTGTCAAATTCATTTAAATTGAAGTTCTTTTTTTAACACCTTCATGCATAAATTTGTATTCTGTTTGCATACCAGTAAAATTAGGTAAACAAATTCAAATATTTCTTTAAAAAGTGGGACTCTACACTGTTTTTCCAGAAAACTCCTAATGTCCTGTCCAGTTTCACCCAAGTATCTAAATAATTTTAGAATCTGATTGTGAATGTGAATCTTGGTGAAAATACCATGTTTATATGAATCGTTTATAATGAAATGTTTATATGAATGCCCACACCATATTTGAAACTAAAAATTATGAAAAAAGGTCTTGTATTGAATGTAATGTGCTTGAATAACAGAATTTACAGTTAACTGCTTTACATTTCAATGAAACATCATAAGACATTCTTCTCTGTTTGCCCTCCATATTGTAATCAAAACTCCTCAACGATAGGCCAATGATAAATGAAATAAAGTTGAATTTGAAAACTCCAGCACTCCATTGTGATGCAATAAATGAAAAAATTGTATACATTTACCGGTGTTCCAAAGAATAGTTTTGCACTCAAATCTAATGCACACCATGATTTCGAGTACTACATATTTTTTTAAAAGTTGCGCATTACGTTCGCATAAATACGGTATTATTAATATTTAACTGAAATTTATAAAATAAATTTTAATGCTTGGGAAGAAATGGTTCAATTAATTAAATTAGTTATTTTAGTTTTTAATATTTAGATACATCAAATAGGTGTATTTTAAACAAGAAATACTTAAAATACTTTACAAAGAATTTTGCAAAATATTGAAGCGCAACGCACACACACACTAGATTCATTGCAAAAGGAGAAACTTTTTATTATGGGACCATTTTATCAACATCAATTTCTTTGCATAATCAACTAGATTTACTGACACCAAATCAATTTAAATAATTGAGCCATACGATAAAAAACAATCAACTACGTAAAAAAAGTTCAAAATAGAGTGGTTCTCCATGTCATTTTCAGACAAAAAATTGAGGGACATTTTTTCATAGTGTTCAAGATCTGCAGAAAAAATTTTCCTTCACTAATAACATGAATACCGATGAACAAGATGATAATGAAGATAATTTCTTTTTTAAGGCTTCTTCTAGTGAACGCACCTTATTGAAACAAAAAGAAAAGCTCCTTTCTGCAGTTAAATTTGAATACTTTTGATTTTTACATGATAAACCTAAATTATTAAATGTTAAATTTGTTAAATCATTTCTCAATTAATACTATTATTATTAATTATATATTAATTTCTTTCAAAATACCCGACATACATGGACACATAATTTATTACAGTTTTTAAATAATAAACTCCCAATTCTGAATTATGTCATTTAAAAAAATATTGAAAAGTCTTGGATACTCTGAGCATCCGTGTTGTACTTCTGTATTTACAAATATTTCCTCCATTTCTTTCTCACAGTTTATTTATTATTATTATTATTATTATTATTATTATTATTGAATTTGTATAAACAATTTTCATTGCATTCACAACTTCCTGTTGTACCCAGGTATATCAGCAAAATAGCATAGTGAGTGCTCTTTTTGGAACTAATCAATTTTTCATTTAATAATACACACTGTTATTGTGGCAACGTTGCTGGAAAAATGTATTCAAAAAGACTTTTTCATTGAATGCTTCCAAGTAATTAACATGAAATTTGGTACATAATATAACGTTGTTTCTGAATGTATAATTTCAATCTCTTAGTATTTCTTCATAAATTAAATTTAAAATTGATGATTCTGGCAAATTTCCTCTTTTTATTATTCATATTAAAATCCAAGATGATAGTGCAGGACACTTTTCCAAAATTTGCACTTAACTAAAAATCAGTCAGTGGCCGCTCGTGTTTAGGTTGCACAATTGCACAACCCCCAGATAATTGAAAAAAATCTCATAATATTTTAGGAATATAAATTTTCCTTTCAATGGCATTCAATATTCAAGATATCGCCGCAATATCAATGTATATGAAATTGTTTTGAAACCAAAGAGCATCCAACTGGTGCTCTCTCTGGAGTCTGGTGCCTTACCAGGTTGAACATGCTATTAGCTGTATTACTAGTTTTAATGCATTTTCTATTTGACCCTTCGATTTAACACAGGGAAATTGGTAATGCACCTTGACGGGTGGTGGTGTCTAGTGCTTAGTGACAACAGAGGGAGTCTCAGGGGCCTCTCTCTGTCTTTGACTTGCTGCAATTTTATGGATTTCGCTTGTTATTGAAAGTACCCAAATTCAGTCAATTATCACCGGCATATTTAAGATGTTAGAAAATTTGTTCTCATTTTTTCGTGTAAAGGTAGCCATTCTGGAAGGAAGTTTCTGTCTATAACGGTGGATGCATATTTCCCCCTGCAGAAGACTGCAGTTACAGACGGAGAGCGCCGGTGGGAATACGAGCGTGTGTGTGGGAGTATCTTTGTTACAAAATATATCAGGGTAGTGAAATTTTCGAAATATAATTGCATTTGTGTGAAACATATCGAAGCAATAGTGCTTTTTGCAATGTGCTAGAGTTGAACTTAAGTGCCCAGTGGAAATCAAAGCCAGAACCTTGTGCACGGGAGGTGTTTAAAATACCTGACAGGAAGACGACACATAAAATTATATATGTAATGTTTTAGTATAGACTTTTATTTAACCAAGTTTTAATTAATTTGAATTGCTTACATTTTTATTATATATCCATATTTTGAAATTTGGAAATTTCATTTCTGTCATTCAATGGAGGTGCAACATCTAGTCTGTTGGGGCACAAGCCGCCACTTAACTGGACCACAACATTTAGTGGACACCTGAACTTTTAGATCTACTAAGATGTTATACATAAGAATTAAAAGGGAAAATGTGCACCTTTAAGAGCTTATCTAATAAGACAACAAATAATTTATCCCTAAATGTTTAAATCAGCTCTATTTCAGTTGAAACAACACACTAAGTTTTTACTTTGAATCAATTATATTTAAACATGTATATCTGATTAATATATTTAGTTCTGTATATTAGTTACAGCAAACTTTTTAGTAGGCATGATACGAATACGACCATTCTTTTGTAAATAGGTATGCTATTTATAACGATACTTTTTATTAGGATTTATGAGTATATTCTAAAATAAATTAAATAAATACACCAATAATAATGATTATGTCACTTTGAATCATTTACCTCTGCTGCACTCCTCTTAAAAGTCCCCCAGTCCCCAGCATTGCCAAAGAGAGGCTGGCCATCATTATGAAGGGCAACAATGAGCATGCCCAAAGAGAACATGTCGCTGGCTGGTGAATGTGTTAAGGTGAGTGCGCACTCAGGAGCAGTGTAGTCGAGGCTCGGTTGAGCAAGGGGGTGGAGGCCCACGGAATACTCTGTGAAGGGCCAATAGGGCTGCAACACAAAAACTTTCTTGGACATTTTGGCTCATTTATTACACAATTTAGTTATTAAATAAAAACACAAGAGATGTAAAATAATATTCCACAAATTACGTTAAATACAATACAATGTAATACAATAGCTCTTTCTGTTTTATTATAACTATTTTCTATTCCATTGCCCTTTAACCAATTACTATGGTTTCTGTTATTTTCACCCATCAACACTCAGCATAATAACACCTAATAACTTAGTAAAAGTACTCATTTTTTTCATTCCAAGCTCTTCCTAAAAGTTTCAATATGTTGAATGTGATTTCTATAACTGGGACAATTTTAAATATCAAATGGAATATCTCTATAAATGAAATGAACCCTTAATTAATTTCATAATGTTGCATTTAGAATTCTTTTAAAAATATGCCAGTCAGTGTATATGCAGTTTGTTGCATGTATTTTGCAAATGCACATTCTTGCTTCATATACATCATTATACTTGGAAGAAACTCATACCAAAAGAATTCTGACTTATAGATTGCAGAACACAATTGCACAAATTATAAGTAAATGCCACCCATGCAATTCCTCCAAGCCCCTCTTCATTAACCTTTAAATCTCACAATTAACTTGCCTATTTACATACAATTCTGTAGTTTTTTCTCGAAACTGACTTACTTGAGGGTAGGAAAACATTTTTTTTCAACACAGATATTTTTTATTACAACACACATCATATGAATCATATTCATCATATGTAGGTATTAACAGCTCACTAAAAGACCTCCACTTTTAATATGAGTACATAATTTTACAACATATTACCAGAGGACATTAAACAGGTAAAATCTATACACATGTTTAAGTCCCCAGTAACATCTTTCCTGCAGGAATGATGGTTTTATACAACAAGAGACTACAAAACTAATACCAACAAAAAGGAAATTTTTATTTTAACAATGATATTTAATGAATTATAATTTTATGCAGTACACATGTATTTAGTATACATACATACATACATGCATGCATACATACATACATACATACATGTCATTTGAGTTATTTTTGTCCAACTTTGCTAGCTCATTTTACAATTTTAAAAATTAGGTACAATTTTAAAAAACTAAATGCGCTTATAACATGTAATGAACTTCAACTTCGGGGTTAGTAACTCCCAACTTGATTAGGTTTTCATCCTGCTTCCCTCAACTGCTGAGCAAATCTTCAGCACATAGTTTCATTAAATACATGTTTTGTTGAACTTTCATTGATCTAGTTGTGATAAGAGTAAAATTGGGAGTGTGGGTTTCTATTTTGTTTGTAATACTTTAAAATCAAATCTGTAGTGTGTTTACCAATGCAAATCAATTTTCTGTACCTGAAGAGGAAGATGTATTGTTTTCAAATGCTGTGAACCTCGCTATATTAGTACTTTTATTCATTATTCAACTATGGGTAGTAAAAGCGGGGAAGAGATTCTAGAGCTCAAGAAAACATGAGAAGATTATACTTATCCCCAATACATTAAAAAAAATGAAAGTAAATACAAATTTTAACATTTGGAACTAAGTGTATCGCTCTAACCAAAGAAACATTTAAAACTGATATGAAATGTTGCGATAAAATAGCTGATCTATGATCCACCATTTAAATCAACTTTTGGCAATACCAATATCCTCAATAATCAAGGAAAAAAGATTTTGGTGTAAGAGAGTGTGAAAAATAGAAAATGGATGTTTTAAAAAAATTTGCAACATTTTCCATAAGCTGGCCACAGTAAACTACAGCATTGCAAAAAAACTTCTATTGACAAACATTGTAGAATCAGAGATGTCATTTTCCAAATTGCGGGTAGGCAGCAAGGATTGAAGCCATTGTAAGGGAACATGTGGAATAAATCGGACTGAATTGAGATAAGTGTACAAAAGTGTATTATACAATAACAACACTTTCTAAAATAAAATAAATTAACTTACCTGAATATCCTGTGCATTCTGATTCAGAACACAGAAATCAAACCCAAAAATTTTCCAAGCTCCTTGCTGGTTCACTATAATGGACTCTGGGCAAATATTACGATGCAATAACTTCACGTCACTGTGTAGAAATGCGAGACCTTCCCCAACCTGAAAGTTACATTATAATAAATGATTAACTCTCACTGAAGAAAAAAAATAAAAAATTAATAAATTTAATACAGATTAAATGCAAAATGAGTACCTGAACCAAGCCATACTTAATTTCAACTTCAAATAGTTTATAATTCTTCAGGTGTGATGGAGGGGGTACAGGCATGTTCTCAGTTGCTCCCAAAATATTTGCTAGACTTGCAAATACAGGTTCCGAAGCGAATGCTAAACTTTCTCTAAAACAAAAATGTAAAAGCAATGATATCAGTATTTGTAAAACCAAGGTGCACTACTTCCCAACAATCTCACTTCAATGAAAAACATTCTTTTTTTAAAAACCTTGATTCTTCCAATGGATGGTTGACAGTGAGAATCTGAGGATGACGCAAACGGGTCAATTGCGATATACCTCTCCTTAATGTTTCTAATAATGTTTCTCGATCATTCCTTGACCACCGTTCCAGCTGGCGTTTCTCAAACACAAAAATTGCTGCATCCTGCTTGGTTGATTTTTTGTATCCTCGATATATCTTCCATAATAAACCTTAAAACATATCAAAAGAATTCAAGAGAAGAAATTCAACTTATTGTTAATTGTTAATTGCAAATTATAATGATATTTTAATTAACTAACCAGGACCAGCACTTGCTATGTGACATGTTGCTTCAAATTCTCGTGTCACAGGATTTCCTGGAAGAACTCCAGATAACTGAGACACAGTACTGCTGACAGTAGAATAAAGTTTGTTGATGACATCCATGATTCTCTCTTCTGTCACTAAATATAATGCAAAAAGAAAACACATTTCTTAGAATCCCAATACTCTTTTGAAGTTACATATGCCAATACAGCATAAATTTAAATCAAAATTATATATTTACTTTCAGTTTTTGATAATTTTCTAAATAAATTACCATTTCATTATATTTGTTTTACATCAAAATCCTTTACTTGAACACACTTGAAGTCTGTAAGTCATTACTTGATGAATCACTACATCATCTGTCACTTTACCTTTCAGTTGTACAGCCTCAGCAGGGAAGTAGTTTCATTTATTCAGTCATAATGAAGGCTCATAATACTACAAATCATCTTGCCGTAATTTGAAATGTACATTATATACATGTATTTAAGACAAAAATATATACACCCAACCTTAACCCACCCGAAAGAATAAAATGTCTTGGTAGTTACAAAGTCGTCACACAGAGGGCAGTGTTTACCAAAAAGTGCTTCCATCTGGCGACGTTTTATGAGGTTCATTTGACAAGTGAATGTTACCGGAACCTGGCGTGCTGTAGTTGAACATCTGACAATTATTTTCCCGCTAAATATGAACATTCCTATTCTCAATGTAAATAATATTAACATTTTTCTTCGACTACCAATTGATCCGCGCGTGTGTGTCTGTGTGTGTGTGTGTGGGGGGGTCTCGACTTTCAGAGCAATTTGAATACAAAGCTCACATAGCTAACATGTTTATTATATTTTTTGTCGAATTTTATTTTAGGCAGCCACACATTGAAAACCAAAAATTAAATTAAAAAACACCACCTTGGATTGAAATGTTGTGTCAAGTTTTGAAAAATTATGGTCTCTGAGTCCATGCAAGTTATTAAGGATTTACTTCCTTGTAAGACGCTGTTATTTTTACACAAATTAAAAATAGATTTCAAAAAGAAAGACACAATTTATTATAAAGACTCCTGAAGAAAAAAAAAGTGCTCCTCGAAACATTGAGAAAAAAATATTTCAAAAAAACAGAACATTTCAATAAAATTTTAATTTTTTTTTTTCAATATGTACATAACTGTCTAATAGTGTTTTCCATTCGCCGCACTGGTGCGCAATGGGCAGCTTTCGTGTACCATTTATCCGCTAGAGCGCACCAGGGCAAAGTTCCATTCTCACGACACGGAACCAGGGTCCACTCGGGGCGCCCTAACCTGCACCGAGGTAGCGAGGTATATATGTAGTCTCTGGAAATGTCAGTACAGTTCATTACACCGGGTCATTTTGAGGTTAGGTACAGAATTTATGGATGTTGATTTGGATTCGTGCTGAAAATATGAAGGCAATTGATCTTCTGTCACGCAGACACACTTCGAGTGATTGAGTATATCATGTTTTACAAGAAATGTCATGAAATCATTTTTGTGACCTACGCGAAGTTCGAAAAATCAATTTGTGTACATATTGCTAAAATTGTTGATTATTTTATGTTAATAAATCCAGTGCGATTAAGAAACCAAAGTACGTCTAAAATTTCAAAACGCTAATAAAGTAAAAATAAAAATTGTGACTAATGTCCTTACACAACCACTCAAATACCTGTATTAGACGCACACGTTTTCTTGAGCCCCGAAAAGTCTACCCCCACTCCTTGGCGAACATTAGTTCAATTAAGAATAAATAATAACGAGTGTTGTAGACAAAATCTGATAACCAGAAAAGTTCTCTCCCATGAAACAAACTATTTTGCATGGAAAAACGAACGAATCAGTTTGCTATAAAATTCCTTTTGTGAAAATAATCCCCCACTCCTCTCCCGTCTAGCAAAGCGAGAGTCTAGGAAATGTGCGCAAAATTTGTTTCACAAGGCTGCCCTTCACGCGTGGGGGCAGCACTTGCGGAGCGATGACGTTTTTGCCCTGCACGAGGATGGGTTTCAGTGCAATGAATGAAAAACTAAAAATCTGGACCAAAAAACTAATAAAATGTATATGGCAGTCTGAAGATGGTGGATTAACTTGTTTATAATTGTATCTTTCCCAGCAGGGGGTGGGCGGCAATTGCCTACTCTTGGCAACCCTAGTCTCGCTTCTTAAAGTTACAATAAAAATTGAAGTAAAATGCTAGGATTTGGAAATGGAGAGAGAAGGCACGGGAGCAGAATGAAAAACAACAACAAAACAAAAAAACACGCAAACCATTTCATATTTCTTCAAGTTTACTTACTTTAACATTCAACTTACACATATTTAAAATGAAACAACATCTAATATAATGTGTCCATTTCTCAGATGGGTCATCTGGAAGCATTAAGTACAGAACCTATTAATATCAAGTCTATTTGGGCCAAAATCAAAAAGGTTAAATTAGCAATTATTTAAACAGTTTTATTTTTACATTTAAAAAAATATTTTATGTCAACAAGCAACAAAAACATACATGGTACTACAATGTAAAATTTCAAAAGATATACTCACATTTGAAAAATAAACACATAAAATAAAAAAGTAGCATTATCAAAAATGGATAGAGCTACAAATGCACATCATAATGTATAACACATTTGTACACACACACAAGCATACATTCTAATAAACATTGGCTGTCTCAAAACTATGGCAGCTGCACTGACCATTTCACATTAATGCCATTACCGCAAGAAATCATATGTACTTTGAATCTATTACACTACAATACCAGACTACTGGCTATGACCAATTGAGCTATACAGAACCCAAGAGCCAAAACAAAACATTTCAAATGAATGTCAAGGACTAGGATTTATATGAATCAGATGCAAATCATAAATTGAATACCCTTCTCCAAAGAGATGATCCGTTTCCCATTACTGATATCCCAATGAAAAGTAGGAGTGAGCCACCATTGGGACAACAGCTCTCTTAATAACTACACAACCTCTAACCAAATTATTTTTATCAATAAGTCTTCCAAGGTTATTTTTGCATTTCCAAGTTTCAAGTACACAACCTTGATTTCAATCATGGCAGGAATTTGTTAGTTTTGGGAGAGAGAATTCAACATTCTTGAAGAACACCTACCAGGTCCCCAAAAGACTTCAATAGACCTTAATTAATAAGCACAAAATTATGTGGTTTGGCAGTGACAGCTAGCAGGTTAGGAACCAACATTTCCATACTGAGACTGCACAAAACAATCACTAAATCTTAATACCCTCACATGCTCCCGAAGTATTCACACATCACACATGACCTAGCTTAAAAAAAAATCATAATTTCCCCTCAAAGGAAATTAAATGAAATCCCATATTATGTTAAACATAAAGTTCCAAAACAGGCCGTAAGAATGCACATATTAGTTTGTTGGATACAAAGTGTGTTCATACCAAGAAACCCATTGGACCCAAAAACAAAAACAAACATATAGTGCAATTGAAATTATTCAGTTCACTTAAAAGTGAGTGAACCTACTTGAATATGCTTTACTGGAAATAAATACACAGGTTCAATAGCTTGAAGGGTCATAAGTATTTGTACTTAACAAATATGAAACTAAGACCAAAGAACTTGTCTCGAAAAAGTCATCAGCAATATTGTACATTTTAAAGATCCTATGAAATATTGTTTCTAACAAATATAAATAAAAATACCTACATTCCACAAAGAATAAAATGATTTAAGAACTAATGTTTTCAAAGATATAGGGAAAGAGTGGTTCACATCAAGTTTTCTGTAAGCAATGCTTAAATGTGCAGATAACTAACATGTGGTACACACATTTTTGACTAACTATATTACACAGCATAAACGTTGCTCAACTTTTTGAGACTCAAGCCCTTCAGTATTTTACTTAAATACATAAGTATATTTATATGTAGTGCTACAGATAATAATTATATCACCTTAATATACCATTGACACAAATTTACAAATCAGATTGACCAATAACTTTCAGCATTGTTGAAATGTTACTCCACTATACAACAACTTATTTTAGATAACATTTTGAGATCTAGTTACTTCTGATCAAAAAATCTTAAAGAAAGCAACATGATTTTTTTAAAAAAAAACTACTTAACTTCGCAGTTTATAACTCTGACCAGAGAAACCAAGTCAGAAAATTGACTAGTCGCCACATGCCTGTTTTATTTTTCTCGACTGCACTAGTTTGGAGAAGGGCTGGGCGTTCACTGAACTGTGATTAGAAACGACATAATTCCCCAAAAGGGTAGAAGAAAACAGAGCCAAACATACATGGCGCCGAAGAAAATTACTTTACAAAAAAAGAAGAAAGAAAAATAACACCTTTTCCCTGTTATGGATGCACTGGCTGCCATTGACAAGGCGTCAGCGCGGGCACGAGCCGGCTGACAGCTTCAGCAGCACGACCAGCCTCAATATGAGGTATATAAACCAAACGGCAATCAAGTGACTAACAAATACGTATGAAGTGTTGCGCGGGGTAATCATATTTTTATAGAAAAAAATCCAACAGCGGATACCAACTCCTGCCGCGTGCCGAGAATAGAGCAGGAGCAGTAGTAATAGTAGTAACAGTAGTAGTAACAGTAGTAGTAACAGTAGTAGCAGCAGTAACAGTAGTAGTAGTAGTAGTAGTAATAGTAGTAGTAGTAACAGTAGTAGCAGCAGTAACAGTAGTAGTAGTAGTAGTAATAGTAGTAGTAGTAATAGTAGTAGTAGTAACAGTAGTAGTAGTAACAGTAGTAGTAGTAACAGTAGTAGTAGTAACAGTAGTAGCAGCAGTAACAGTAGTAGTAGTAGTAGTAGTAACAGTAGTAGCAGCAGTAACAGTAGTAGCAGCAGTAACAGTAGTAGCAGTAGTAGTAGTAGTAGTAGTAGTAGTAGTAGTTATGGTAATAGTCGTAGTAGTAGCAGCAGTAGTAGTAGCAGCAGTAGTAATAGTAATGGTAATAGTCGTAGTAGTAGCAGCAGTAGTAGTAGTTGTAATGGAAATAGTAGTAGCAGTAGTAGTAGCAGCAGTAGTAGTAGCAGCAGCAGCAGCAGCAGCAGCAGCAGCAGCAGTAGTAGTAGTAGTAGTAGTAGTAGTAATGGTAATAGTCGTAGTAGTACCAGCACTGGTAGTAGCGTTGGTGCTATACCGTGAGTTGGGATGGATGGACACGAGACCCGTGCGCGATTCTCCCAGCGCCGCGCCGTGCCGTGCCGCGCCGCACCACTCTGAGCCTAGGGGGGCTCGGAGGAGCCTAGAGGGTCGCGCTGCACTCCTGCGCCTCTCGCGCAGTGCAGTTGCCACGAAGCGTCCACGTTGTCAAAGGAGAGAAAAAAAAAAAAAGGTCAAGGAGTCATCGGAGTGCACTGTGCGGAGCCGGGCAGGGCGGTTACACCGTGATGGGCGGCTTGATCTCCTTGTTGACGACGTAGAAGCGGTGCTTGTGCCCGAAGAGCCCCCAGATGACGGCCATGTTCTCGATGAGGATGTTGAAGGGGATGGTGGAGAGCGCGCCGCAGATGCACATGAGGAAGCGCAGCATGCCGAAGCGGTACAGCGAGAAGGACTTGATGACGCCGAACACGTACATGTAGATGTTGACGGCGGCGATGAAGGCGCAGAGGAAGTCCATGAGCGGCGGGCACGGGATGGGGCAGAGCGCCGCCAGCACCACGTTGGACGTGGAGAGCGGCATGGTGACCCACGAGTAGCACGAGATGGCCAGCAGCAGCTTGTGGCGCAGCGGGATGGCGCGCGAGTGCACCACCAGCAGGATGCCCTGCAGCCAGCGCTTGCGCTGCTGCACGAAGTCCCACAGCGAGAACGGAGACTTCTCCCACATCTCGCCCTCCACGAAGTTGAACGAGTAGCCCTCCTTGTAGGCGCGCATGGCGAAGTAGCAGTCCTCGGCCACGGACCCGTCCAGCCCGTTGTCGAACGACACCGCCCGCTCCGCGCCCACCTGCAACACCACACGGCCAAGCTCAGTGCCACCCACGCAAGCACTTGGGACGACGAATCAAAATCGCGACAGCTGAAATAAACACAAAACACACTATATGAAGCTTTGTGCATGGCGTGTATGACTCAGCGAGTATTCCTCAGTCTGTTTAATTCTCAACAAAAAGTTTTCACACATTGGAGAGTTTATAACTAAATATAATAATACTATTTAACATCTATAAAAAATAAAGTCTCTGGTTGGACATTTTGATGGGATTCGATTCTTTTGATACTGCTTCCGTGTCATTTAGTAGTTTAGGAAGTTCTGAAAAATCCAAAACACTGAAAAAAATATTTATAAACTCAACACGCGCAGTCACACTGCTCAACGACATCGACAAATTTTCAACGAACTTCCGCATCCCAGCCGCCGTCAAGGAACTATTTGCATCAACACATTATTACCCTTTAGCTATGTTTTACTCCGGCCTCTCCCTCCGGCTAAACCACAGGCACAGAGCAGAGCAGCTACGCTCGGTTTCACATGAAGTTCTGACTCCATCCTGGTCAGGAGCGTACAATGCATTCTTGATATCCGGGACGAGCCGCGTCTCGGACAATTGCGCTGACGTTTCGGCCATCTTGCTGTGGCTTTCTTCAGAGCTATACGAATACTGCTCAGAACTGGACAGTTTAGCTCTGAAGAAGGCCACAGCAAGATGGCCGAAACGTTAGCCCAATTCACCGAGACGCGGCTCATCCCGGATAGCCAAGAATGTATTAACTCCGGCTGCGAAGCCTACAAACCCATAGGAGCGTGCAATGCTGTAGTGATCTCTCCTAAATCGACATATAATACTGCAGGAGTCGCAGAGCTTCGTTCTGCGTTGGCGACGGCTCCTCCCTCGCTCGAGAGACGCGACTGCCCGCTCCGAGGAGGTTAAGGAGAGAAACGAATTCACTCCCTCCATGTCCGGGACGCCACAAGAACAAAGCAAAGGATTAATCGCGGAATTCGCACGTGGTTGTGGGTCGAGCCCTCTGCCCGGCGCTCCGGAGGGCACGAGAGCAGGGCGGAGAAGAAGGGACTGCTCCGTACGATTCGTATTCAGGCAGAGACACACACATTCGTTGATTTACTGGGAATTAGGGATTCTTCATCAATTCAGAACATTGAGGCGCACGTGGGGTCATCTAATGAGTGAAAGAGCAATGGTTAAAAACCACGTTTGGGAGGTGGGAAGGAAAACCTGCCGAGGGCTTCCTGTGTCCATCTCAAATTCAAAATTCATTGTCCGGTAAGCACACCCTGTCCCCAGCGACAAAAGGCGAAAACTCCGGCCATTACCCCACGAGCCCCCGTTGGCCGGAAGAGCTGCTACCGTCAGGCGCACGTGAGCAAGCCGCCTGCTATGGCTGTCGCGCTCGGCCACGCGGTGTGCCAAGCGAGGGGGGGTGGGATGCCGGATCGAGCAACTTCCGGGGCAGACGACCGGAAGCGAACGCGGGGCCGACTCTCCTCCCCATCGCCACGCTGACCGCTCAGTCACGCCGCCCCGCCCGCGCCGACGCGACTCGCATATTGTCAGTCACGTGAGCGGATTCTTTCACAATCGTTTATGCAAAACCAAATTGGGGGCATGGTCGGCCAGAAACCAGTTACATTTACATCCCAAATATTGGCTAGCTTGTGCTTGAGGCGTCTGACTTATTGTTATAATCATATTACTATTACTATTATTATTACTATTATTATTATTATTATTATTATTATTATTATTATTATCGTTCACCAACTGAAGAATGTAGATAGGTTATAAGAAAAGTATGTACATTTTAAAACTTTCTTTTTAAGATATATTATTTACATGCATAATTCCGTGTTAAAAGTTCAGTATATTAGATCTATCGTGATAAAGATAAAAAAAAACAGCTCTTCGAAATTCAGTTTCAAATGTCCGTTTACGCTCTTTTGATGACTTAATTCACACGCATACATATTATTATCTGCTTTTCGACCGATTTCTTTCAATTCATACTATGTTCTGTCTTGCGACGACCACTGGTGAAATCCATCCATAACCTCTTAACTACACGCACTCCAGCGTCACTTCGAGGCATTATCAGTTGGCGCTCCCATATGGGTATCGTAGAGAAGGTGGGTAGCATTTCATAGATGCATATTCGCTCGTAAAACAATGTATTGGTCCTTATCAGGCAATAAGACCATCGGACGGATATTCGGAGAAGCTTTGCCCTTATCAGAAGACTGTTTTTCAGCGAAACGCGTTTTCCTGCTCGTGACATGAGCTGAGCGCTGGCTGAATGCCACAATTCTGGTGATGTTACAGATAATTCTCATATTAGGCGAATGCCGGAACAGTATCCTAACAAACAAACGGGCCACGGACCGTGCGCGATCTCACCTTCCTCTTCCTTGTCCTATCCTCACCCCTTACACACACTAATATGCACCGCACCACACCACCACACATGCCGGGAGACCCTTCAGGAGCTAAGAGATTGTCCCGGCTCGGGTGGTGCCCCGCTGGTGGTAGATACCAGGCTAGGGAAAGCCTCGCTAGCCAATAGTTGGGCGGCACCGGATCTCGCCATCCAGCGGGACAAGATCATCTCCCGAGAAAAAGCATGTACTACACTTACGGGATTGGTGACCTTATACGTTGACACGTCCGGAATCACGAGTAATCAATCACAATTCTCAACAGTGATTTAACTTGTTTCCATATCATTACTAATTAAAAATAGATAAACAGCTGAAGCAAAATATAGTATTTGGGAATAATAAAATGAATTCTTTGATGGAAAATTAAAAGTGGGAACATATGCATTGAAGTCCGCCGGATTCCGCCGAACCGAAACTCACCGAAACAACCGAACTCACAATATACCAATTTTTACTCAAACACGATAGTCAGACGGACGTTTTGCCGTCCAACGATTTTTCAGTATCAAGGACCCACAAAACATCGATTTAAATACAGAACGTACTAGAGGAAGCAATTTGCTACATACAGGAAGTAGATTTATTCAAGTTTTCGTTACCAGGGCGAGGCCGAACAGACTGTTGCGGCTCTGTTAACTCACTGCGCAACGATGTGTGATTTGGCAATTTAGAAATGTTTAAAATTCTCGAAGTGTGTATGTATGTGTGAGGGGGAGGGATACTGCCGAAAAACAAGAAAGCCTCTTGCTTTAAGGCAAGATTTCTTTCTTCAAGCGAGGGCATTTAAGTCTCTAGGAGGAGGGGCGGTTCCAGCAGCCCCACATTCTTTCGCTCATTGCTGTACACAACATCCGGATTTGAGGCCCCGGAGATAGGCACGGTGACTTCTTTCAGTTTTCTCAGCCCCCACGGGCCTAACGCCTAAACGCGGTTTCCAAGAGGTCTTCTCAACTGCCTGACCTACCTTCCTAGGGACCTCTACAGGGTGCGTTTCGCAGGTAGATGTTACTAGAATCAAGGGTCAGTCAACTCTCCAAGGTCGGAGTAAGTCCCTATTCGATTTCCCTGGAGGGATAGACCAGTTGCAGGAGGTGCCCCTCGCTTGCCGCCCCAGTGCACCCTCATCACCACCAACGGCGCCGCGCCGTGCGGAGGGCAAAGCACAGGGGCGCTGGATCGATCGGTTTGGGCGCGGAGTCAACGCCCCCTGCTGCGGCGTGGCGGCGTGGCGGCGGCGGCAGCGGCGCGCGACGGGTCTGGGGCTGCGCAGACGGCGCGGCGAGAGCCAGGGGCCGACACGCCCGCTCGCCCACCGCATTCGAACAAGCCGCCTTTCGAAACGCGCTTTTTTCGCGTTCTCTGCCTACGCACGTATCTCGTCTTGTAACAAAATATGCACATACCTAAGTAACCGTTACAGATCTGGGGGGGGGGGGGGCACGCGGGCCATGCCTCCCAAGGCTTATGGAAAAACATTTATATACTTTACTTGATTTGCCAATATTTTAAAAATATGTATGACACAATTATGTAATTATTTAAAAATATTGTATAGAATCGTAAACACGCTACAAAAAAACAATATAATAACAATGTTTTTCATTTAACAAAAATTGATGATACGTACTCAACTAGTACGTACTTGCGTATTGAAATGATCTTAGTATCTTCAACCAATTTTTTTTTTCAGAATTGCGGCTGATCTATGCGCGGATCTAGCCGATAATTGGGGAGGGGGGAAAGGGCATCGTAGACGTTTGTTAAATAATAAAAAAATATATTGCATATTATTTATATACTGTATATATGACATAGAATATTGTAGTTTAAATACGTACACAGTTAATAAATATTTCAATCAATTTTGACAAATAAAGGAAGATAAACGGATACTCCAGGCCTTTTGGATGGGTCCATGGCCCCCAAGCCCCCATCACTCCTATTGAATCTCACTATTTAACATCAGAGTTTCCATAAACATTTTTGACATGTTTGTTTCCGAAACTTCATGTGAAATTATCAAAATGATCGGCGAAGTAAAAAGGATTTCCGATTTCCTGTTTGTTAAAGTCTTGTGAGCCTGCCCATATATACCCGTTAGTTCACTTACTTAATACATTGTTATGCATCGAAACGTTTCTAGATATTTTCAAAACAGAAGATTAAGCCGCTGTACAAAATAGGCAACAAATATGAAATCCAAAATTATCAGCCAATTTCTCTATTGTCAGATTGTTCCCCCCCATAGAAATGGACACATTTCTCAGTAGACATGAAGCGTTTTCAGAATGCAAACTTATTAAGCAAATCAAAAACCTACGAAAAACACGGTTTTCTTAAAGACTTTGCTTCATCCATGGATCAAAATGAAGCAACTATTGGGAAATTTTTTGGTCTTTCAAAAATCGATGTCATTCATCGTACAATTTAATTTCAAAATTACATTAGTTTGGAATGAGTGGTATTGCCCCAGATTGGTTATGTTCATACCTTTAAATTATCCCAGAGAGTAGAAATATCGTACTGAACTGATGGGGCATCTCCTTTCCGAG